AATAAGAAAATTAAATTTGATGGCAGACATTTTAAGGTAGAGCTATAATTAAGAGAATCTTTGCACTGGGAATGGAATTGATTAAAAGCATGCACTGCTTTTTCAAATGACTCGGGTTCAGTTCCTAGTATCCACATTGGGCAGCTCACATCTCTGTAACTACAGCAGGGATGTGATGTCTGTCTGACTTTCTTTTGTGGGCACATCTGCACATGTGTGCATGTGCACATACACACAATTAAAATAAAATAAACATTTTAAAATAAAATTTGAGTTTGGATTTTTGAGACATGTCTTATAGATGGGAAAAATGGTTAAGTTCAAATACTGTGACTCACAAGTTCTCATACCAATCAGATGGAGAACAGCAAATGTTCAGAACATGTTTCAGGTGACACCTTGATTCCTAGTGCGATGTAAAGAGTGGAATTAGTATTAGCATTTGCATTAGCATTAGTATTAGCATTAGTCACTTTTCTGTAATAAAATACACTTCTTTTTTTTTGTAATAAAATACCATGACCAAGACAACTTACAAAAGAGTTTATTTAAGCTTCTGGTTCCAGAGGGTTAGAGGTCATGACGATAGGGTGAAGACATGGCAGCCGGAATAGTGCTCTGAGGGCTCATCTCTTCAACTGTAAGTATGAAGCATAGAGGAAGAAAACTGGGAATGGCTTGTGGCTTTGAAAAAGAAAACCTTGTCCCCAGTGACACACTTACTCCACTAAGGTTTACTCTCATTAACCTACCCAAACACTGGGGATCAATTATATGCCCAAGTCTTTGGGGAACATCTCTTATTCAAGCATTCAGATAGGTAAAAACTGCATCACACTGCGTCAAGGGGATGGTAATGGATCTGCACCATTTTCATAACAGTGGAGTGCTCTGTGTAGATTTCTAACACAACACAACTGAAAACATGTTTGAAAACCCTGGATCCAACATGTACTATGTTTGTTAAAGTTTTAGATAAGAAATTTGGACTACTGTCTATTTTCGAGGAGTTGAAAAATCAATTTAATTCATATCAACTATAATGCCTTAAGAATCAAAGGACAGACTGAAGAAATGGATCAATTGTTGATCTTAGACAAGACCAAGCTCAGTTCCAGACACTGATATGACAACTGAAAATCCTAATTCCAGTTTCAGAAGAACTGATTCTCTCTCCTGGTCGCCACAGTCACTGAACCTGTAGCGTGCACACACACACATATATGTAGAACACCAACACACATCCAAAAAAGTAACTCTTAAAAGAACAATTAGAGGAAATAAGTGCTATACAACTTGTGATATTATATTACAAATGTGTTAATAGCCAGAGATTGTAGAAATCTTTTTGGAAAGTGAATCTTGGATTCAAGCCATTTTGAAATTAATGGGGAAGAAAGGTTGACTTCTAAGGTGCCCAACAGCTAATAGATAGAAGCAAAGAGAAAAGTGTACTGGAAAACACAAATTAAGAGTAGATGAAAAAGAGGATGAGTACCTTCGAAGGAGAATGAAGGGTCACAAAGAGAAAGCCATTCTGAAAGAATCTAAAAGGTTATCACTCATATAAAAGATTAATTACCACAATACTAGAAAATAACTGAACTGCGAGAGCTGCTAAGGAAGACCTGAGTGAAGAAATGATGTAGGGAAATTCCCAGGAGAGATAGTATCCTGGTAGAAAATGCTTTCTCAGAAACTTTAGCAATTCAATGTGACAAAATTCCAGTATTCTTGTAGCCAGAAAGGTGCTGCTTTGCTTTCCCAGTACTGCTAGATATCTGTGACCAGTGTTTTCTTGTATCCTGATGACCGATGCTTCTTCATCTTCATGAATATATTTTCTAAGGTGACAGAGAGAGTTGATGCCACTTGATTCCTGGAAGTCATGGTACATTAACAACATTTTAGTACATTATGAAAATAAATGTTCTTTCCAATATGCTAATATGTATCATTTTACAAAGGAAAAGACTTCTCTTCCACAATCCAGTATCCACGACTGTTTTCTTTGGACTAGGGGTTTCTTTGATCAACTTTTTATTCTCATATCTTTCCAAATTATACTGAAAAACAAAGTAAAACAAAACAACCGATGTATTTTATTGACATTTCCAGTAGTAGCCATGCCCAGTATATGTGCTGATCTTGTACAGGCAGAAGTGGAAAAATATTGATGCAAAATATGAAAAATGTATTATGGTGGAAACAGAAGTTTCTTGTTGCTTATGATTTTTCTCTGAGGCTTGCTGTCTAAAAATAAATCCTTACTGTAGAAATACTGCCATCTTATATTCCACATAAATGTTGATACTTAGCAACTAATAAATATGTCTTATAACTAGAACCTGATATTGTTGCCTGCTAATTAGAAAACCTGGAAGGCCAGTTCTAATTTTCCTTTTGGGACAAAAATGTTTATTTAGAACTTTCATCCAACATCACATGACTCCTTAGCTTCCAAGTCATGAGCAATACATATACGATCATCATTTTAGTAGTTAATGCTAAAGGTTTCCCAGTGGTATACCATAACTCATGTGAATCTGAGGCACAATTTTTTAATAAATTAATGACTCTAAATTGTGGAGTCATGTATCTGATCACTATCGCTGAAATAGGAGCAAATGTAACTAAAGTAAATTAAAATGAGCTGAAGCATCAGTTGTAGTTAATTCTCAGATCAAAAGCCAAATATCTCCAAGCAGAGAGGAAGGCTCCTTTACTACCCTGAGCAGTGAACTCACCAGATAACTAGTAAGCTAATGTCATTTTTAAACAATATGAAAAATGGAAAAAGTAGGTTCTCTAGGAAGAATACAGGGGCTGTCTCTGACATTGACTCTGTTGCCTGTTTTTCAATCACTTCCCCTGGAAGGGCTGCCTTGCCAGGCCACAGGAGAAGAGGATGCTCTAAATCCTAATGCACCTGATGTGCTGGTCTGAGTTGGTGGGGGGTGGGAGTGGGGTTCACTTTAATCTCTGAGTAGGAAAGGGAAGAGAGGGGGAGGTGGGTGGTAAGATGGGAACAAGAATGGAGTGGAGGGAGGGCCTAAAATCAAATGCAAAGTTAATAAATAAATTAATTAAAAAAGAAAGAAAAGAAAACAAAAAATTGGCTACATTTTTCCCTCCACCCCTCTTTCTGTCTTGTTTTTTAAACCATGAGTTTCTCTAGCAGCAACAAGTTATTGGCACAGAAGAAAACACTGAAAGATACTGCATCTCTCCTAACCCACAGAGATATTTCCTTTCATCTTACTCTGGCTTCCTTGCCTAACCCTTTCACTTCTAGACAGATTTAAACAAACAGAACTGACCATCACTATTTCTCCTACTTACTTTACAAATTGAGGCTCCTATATTGCTCAGCAGAAGCTAGGGGTTCTTTCTGTATAAGTATCTATTAAAATGAAGGAAACTCAAGAGAGGAACATGGCTTCTCCTCTTTGGTGTTAGTCAGTCTTGGCTCACTTCCAAAAGTTCTGTGAATCAGGCAGGTCTCACACAGAGGCCCAGCTTCCCGGCAGCTGCTCTGCTATATACTGGGCCACATTCTTCTTTGGAGAGCAGATTTGTTAGCAAAGACCTGGAATGTCCCTGAGCATTTCTTGCCACACTTATTCATCTAAGCAAAAGACGATCAGATGTTATATCTTGCCCCTTAGCGAAAACAGTTGGAAAGTCTGACTCTTCAAACACACTAGATTGTATAATTTAAGTATTAAGTTTAAAACATTCCCTGGTGTCTTCTTTTTGAAGACTTAGAGGAATGATTCAGCTCTATATTTCTCCAAGGTAAATTAAGTGCCCATTCTGGGTGTGCTGCCTTGGAATAGCACCTTGTAAACTAAGGAGTGCTGGAACTGACTGAAAACAGAACTAAGGAAACTGAGTAAGCCAGTCCCCTGAAGAATACTAGTATATTATACACTCTATAAAGCGCAAAATGCCTTTTATTTCAAGTCAGTTACTCAGGTCCAAAAGTGCTTCTGCGCTCTTTATCACTTTTCCTACACACTGCACGAGGAGAGTATCATTTGAAGAATGTTGGGAGAAGCGTCGAAGGCTGCATCGCTGAGCCAAGCACTCCGTGCTTCTCTGTAAGACTGATGTGTGTGCATTAGGTTCTTCCTTTCATGAGCCACTTGCATACAGATTCCAGAACGGTGGTGCTCTTAGATCTCACCCAGTACCCGGGCTGCACAAGGAAAGTGTGCTAGAGGTTGTGGTAACTTAAGCTACATTTATTAAGGAACCGTTTACTTTCTGGTCTTGTAGAACCTGCCTCAGTAGATTCTTACTTGTCTAAAAGTTTCCTTTTATCCACATCTTTGTCAGCATTTGATACTATTTTCTTTTTTGTAATCAATTGTGTGTGTGTGTGTGTGTGTATGTGTGTGTGTGTGTGTGTGTGTGTGTATCCTATGTGTACGCCTGGGTCGTGGGAGGTTAGAAGAGGCATTCCATCTTCTGGAACTGAAATCATAGGTGGCTGTGAGCTACCATGTGGGTACTGAAAACAGAACATGGGTCTTCCATAAGAACAGTAAGTGCCCTTAGGCATTGGGGCTGTCTGTTGCTGTTCTCTTAATGATGAAATTCTGCCCAAGGTGAAATAGCATTTCAGGATAGTTTTGATTTGTGTTTTTCACATGACTTACGCTATATAAATTTTTGTCTCTTAAAAAAAAACAAAATAAAACAGACTTTTATGAGCCAGTAGTAAGGTGTCTTAATACCAGGCCTAATGATTGAGTTCAGTCTTCCGATCCCACACAGCGGAAGTACGTCATTGTCTGAAATCTACGAATTCACCATGACATGTCTCAGCACATGTGCATGCACACACACACACACACACACACACACACACACACACACCACATGCACTTATAATAAATAATCTAAACTTCTAGCTTTACTCTTGGGAACAGTAGAATTACAGTACTTTTTCTCTAGCATTGTAAGAATTAAGATTTATTTTTATTTCCTTGTAGTTTACTAGAGCATAAAATCTTAGAAATGGAGGGAAAACACAAAGAAGAGTTGGACACCTTGAAGGAGGAGAAAGAAAACCTCCAAGGCTTGGTTACTCGTCAAACATTCATCATCCAGGAGTTAGAGAAGCAACTAACCAGAGCCACCACCAACAACAGCGTCCTTCAGAAGCAGCAACTGGAACTCATGGACACAGTCCATAACCTTGTCAGCCTTTGCACTAAAGAAGGTGGTAAGAGTTCTTTCTTCCTTTGGCTTTGGAACTATTTTCTTTCATGCAAGCAAGTAAAGGCTTGCTTACTATTTCTTCCACTGCACTGATGCCAGTGCAAATTCTGTAGACAGACCTTATTCTGAAAAGCATTTTATAAGTTTTAGTTGACAATTTTCAAGCTCTCTAAGTACAGAAAATTTATTTTTGAGTTTGTGAATCTGCATTATCTTTCTAATAGAATTTTGTAAATTCACCTTTCATTCTTGGTATTGTGTATCTTTGATAAAATCTCTTATGCCGTGAGGGTTATATATTTGACATTATGGGTGTTAGATACCTATGTATAGGAAAGAAATTAGGTGATCCTTAAAATTAGCTCAGAGTTCTGGGGGAGTTCCTGTTTCATAAATAATTCTAATTGTTTCCATTTTTAGGAAAGAGGAGAAGGGATGCTATTACATGTAGAGAATAAGGGAAAGAAACAGCCCTCAAAATTTATTATAAGGAAAGATGGTTCTAAAGTATCCATTAAGATCCTTTGTCTTGATCCTATGCAGAGATGTAACAGAGATATCAAATGGGATGTCTTTGTGATGATGCAACTTACAATATTCTATGATTTGAGTATCTGGAGCCGTATAAGCACACAGCTGCAAGTCAATATGTCTTGAAAAGATATCCATCCATTTATCATTTTTTCTTTATTCTCTGTGTGGCTGATGAATGTATAAATATGTGTAAAAATGCATTTGTGTGTCATAGTGTTCACGTATAGAACAGGGACTAGCTTCATGGAGTTGCTTCTTTGCTTACACATCTACATGAGTTCTGGAAATCAAATTTATGCAGCACCCCCTTTTTCTTTTGAGCATCTTGTCCCATTTCCACCCAACCATTATAAAAGCAATGTCATTTTGCACATATCCAATTTAAGCAGAACCCTGACCTGCAGTACGAGGCTTTAAAGTTTGGTGCACGGGTCATCTTGTGCAGTTCTGCTCTGCAGTCAGTCTTCTGAGTGGAGTTGGGACTGTAATTGGATATGACTGAGAGCACTGTTTACATCTGAAACTGATAGTAGTCGTTGAGCTGTGGCTTATGTGACCATTCACATCACAGTTCAGTGTGAGCATGCAATGTGGTGGATCCTTGACTCATGGTGCTGCGTAAAAATACAGCTCTGTTTCATACTTTCATGTGTACATAGAAATACACACAAGATAACTTTACATGAAATGATCTTGTTTTAGAGACATTTCACATTTCTCTGTTACACTCCATTTCCTCACATTGTATCTTCTTTAGATAGTCTAAACAAACCTCAGAGATATTTCGTAAAGAACTTGTTTTAAACAGTGAGTCCCTAGAGCTCCATTTGGGTGTGCTCAGTAATGTGATTGGGAAGGAAAAAACCTGCTAATCAGACAGAGCCTGCCAAACTCTGAACTAGAGTCCGCTGGAAGGCAAGCATGGTAGGATATTGCCAGGGAATTTTAATAGAGCTCATGAGTATTTATAAATTAAGTATTAATACGAGACATATCTATTCTCATATTGAGATGAATACATTTAGAGAAAGATTGAAAACACATTTTTTTCTTATCATCCCGAGACTTAAGCACACGGAGTTGGGTAGTGTTTTGTGCATGATGTTAGACATGTTCAGCATTTGCAATTCTCACAGAGCTCATATATCTGCCTACTTATCAGAATTTAATTTCATCCCCCAGTGTTTGTCTAATAAACATTTCTTTTCACTGGTAGAAACATGGAGTGTGCATTGAAAATTTTTGCCTTGATTTGAGGTTTGACTCTATACGAGCAGCCAATTGTTTGCTTTGCCATTTACTGAAAAATTATGATAGCAGATATGACAGGTGCCATGCTGAGCATTCACTTAGGGTGGGAGAGAGGTGTCTGCATCTGCTCCACTATTTGAACATCTAAAGAACTGTGGCAACAATAACACAGATTGAATTGTCTGACACTGTAACACTTCCAATATATTTCTTCTTTCTAATGATGCAACCATAAAATAAACCATGTCTCAGCTGCAAGATTTAGGACTTTGTAGATTGCTGGCTGATTCTCCACTGCGTTTTTATACTCTCCTAGCCGTAGACCTTGTTTCCTATTAGTTCATATTGCCTCTAATCTTAGTTTAGTATTCTAGCCACCTCAGTTTACATCAGAGGTACACACCTGGAGTAACTCTCACTAGGTGTCTATCAAGATGTTTTATTTTCCCTATTTATGTAGTTTTATTTTTTAAATTAATTTTTTATTATTTTATTTTAATTACAGTTTATTTACTTTGTATCCAAGCTGTAGCTCCCCCTCATTCCCTCCCAACCCCACCCTCCCTCCTTCATCTCTTTCCTGCCCCTCTCTAAGTTTACTGATGGGGGAGGTCCTCCTCCCCTTCCATCTGATCCTAGCTTATCAGGTCTCTTCAGGACTGCCTACAATGTCCTCCTCTGTAGCCTAGCCAGACTGCTCCTCCCTGGGGGGGGGGGGGGAGCTATCAAGATGTTAATCCTCTTCACATTTAAAATTTCATTTGAGCCATAGTCTTTAGTTACTGTGCATTTAAATGTTAAAGTGCAAATACTATAGTATTAAATTAAATATAAGTTGCTAAGGTGAATTTATTTCATTTTATTTATGAAACACATTTCCAACCTTTATTTTATATTAAAAAATGTATTTACTATACAGTTTTATTATTTATCAGATGAGTATATGAAAATATTTTACTTTTTAAATTCATATGCATATAAATATTGAAAATTAATATACCACAATATAACATTAAATTTCCTTTAAAAAACATTAAAAAGTCAAACAGTGTCATAATGCAGAAGTTATGGAAAACTCACAAAAATCCAAAAAATTAATTTTGGGTTCAATTTAACTCAGTAATTTGGGGCATGATCTCAAATATAATGCCATACAACCCACAAGAATACATTCTTTGTGAATTTTCTCTCTCTGATGTTTATGCAGAAAACATCAGGCAGGAGAAATTTGCCTACCCTGCCATGACAGGGAAAGAATTAAACAGATTGTTTGATATAAAGCAAAGCAAGCAGTCTCGACGACAGAGATCAGGCACTAAGTTTTTGTACCTTTTATCTCTCCTAAGGAACAGAATTCCTTAAACAAACATTAATTAGGCATTATTTGTAAGAGGACTTTTTCAGAGCACATCTAAACACGGTGGTCTAGGTTCACTACTCGGAATTGTCCTGCTGCTTCTGCTAGCCCAAGCCTCCCGATATCTAAAGCGGCATCACAACTTTAACCTAAGAGTTCATGGGTTATCATAAATAAATGCAGTTTGCATGCTGGATAGTTCACATTTGCAAGAGAAGCAAGTTTATATGTTTTACCACAAAGAAATGAAATGATGTGATAAGAATGCATTAACGTTCCATGGCAAAAGTTTGTCTAGTACACAATGAGCAGAAATGTAACTTTCACCAAAAAAATAAAAAATCATTTGATAGAAAAACTCTAAACACATCTTTCTATAGAGTGAGCATTTTCATTTTATAGTGCTTTTACACTAGAAAATGTTATTCCATAAGAACCATTTACCCTAAATGTTGCTAACAAAAAAAAAAAAAAGTTCAAAACAAAACAACAAAAACCCATACTTTCAGGGATAACCCAACAAGCTTTCTTCTTGCACTGGGCAGGGAACAGTGATATCATAGGCCGGTAGTCATTTCAAGCTGCATCATATCTTTTTTCCTCTTCTTTCTTTCTTTCTTTCTTTCTTTCTTTCTTTCTTTCTTTCTTTCTTTCTTTCTTTCTTTTTCTACTTCTGAAATCACATTTATTTTTGTGTAATCTTTGCAAACATTTGATCACATTTATTCTAAGGCACATTACCCACTAGAGAAATATTGCCTTCACTGTCATTGCAGTGTCAGAGTTTAGCTGGCTGCTCCATGCTTTTTTGCCATATCATAGTTACTGCTAGAATTAAATAGCTCACACTGACAGTGGCATGGAAACTGTTTGAAATGCTTTAGAGAGGACAAGTGAACACCACAACTGCCAGAAGTAGTCACCAGTCATTGTCGCCTCTATACACTGGTGATTAAGAAACCATCACAGACATTGGAAGCAGTAGAAACCACATCATAATATGAAATTGAGAATTAAATTAATGACAAAAATGCAAAAAAAGAAAAAAAATGAGGAAAGAAATGAAAAACTGGAAACGGAATCACTATTTAGGCCCATCATAAAGTGACATACTCATTTTCTCATTGTTCAAGTCAGCTTGGAGTGCAAATCTGCTGTACTAAAAGGTGCTTCATGAGTTTATCTAGTCATTCAAACATAGTTTTGTAATGATTACCCTTTTATAATTCTCGTCTGAGGAATAACAATGATTATTTGTTTTTATAGAGCAAAAATTTGATAAGTACCTATCATGTCCTAACACTGATATACCTGGGAAAAAGCAATATATTATTAAATTATTTTTATTTTTATTAATTACAGTTTATTTACTTTGTATCCCCCCTGTACCTCCCTCCCTCCTCCTCTCCCAATCCCACCCTCCCTTCCTCTTCCTTACCTGTGCCCCTCCCCCAGTCCACTGATAGGGGAGGTCCTCTTCCCCTTCCCTCTGAACCTAGTCTACCAGGTCTCATCAGGAGTGTCTGCATTGTCTTCCTCTGTGGCCTGGTAAGGCAGCTCCCCTTTCAGAGGGAGGTGATCAAAGAGCAATCAGTCTTTGTCAGAGGCCAATCAGTCTCTGTCAGAGACAGTCCTCATTACTATGGTACCCACTTAGACACTGAACTGCCATGGGCTACCTCTGTACAGGGGTTCCAGGCCATCTCCATGAGTGGTCCTTGGCTGGAGTATCAGTCTCAGAAAAGACCCCTGTGCCCAGACTTTTTGGATATGTTGCTCTACTTGTGGAGCTCCTGTCCTCTCCAGGTCTTACTATCTCCTACTCCTTTCATAAGATTCCCTGCACTCTGCCCAGAGTTTGG